TCTTGGTAAGTGTAATTCCTAATTTCTTATCACTTGTTGTTGAAAACGTTGTATTGAAATTATGGGTAATAATTCTAAACAATTTCTTTCAAAAAAAAAGAAAAAGTCGAAAATGATGCATAATTATTGGAAAAAACAACGAAAAGGTTCTAAAACTGATCTTCCAAGTAAATCAAGTCTTGCAGAATGTAGTTTTCAGTCAATTGAATCGAGTTCCGATGACGATGAAGTGTTTATTATTGAGAAAGAAACTAGTCAAGAACAAAATTTTGTTCCAAATGGTCGAAGGATTGTTGACATAGGGCATTTATTTTTGGAATTAAGAAAACATAAAACAACATTTTTTCTTGTAGTTTTTTGAACATTAACATCATTCTAGAAACACATTTGTGGTTTAAAAGTGTTTTTAAACACAAATGTAGTATGTGTGGGGCAATAAGAACTTTTAGTACTGAAAAAGAAAATCACACAAATGAAGTAAATGAAGCAGCTGTTTGTAGCACAGTAGCAATAGGTGCTGGTTATTCTCAACTAACAGAACTTCGATGGAAGCTGCAATTATTTTAGATGGATTTTAAAAATCAATAGACATGCATAATGTAAGATTTAAAAACCTTATAGGAGATGGTGATAGCAGTGTCTACAAAAAAATTCGTAATGCGAGACCCAATGGACCTAATTATTTCATTCAAAAAATTGAATGCCGAAATCATATGTTACGAAATTTTTGTACCAAACTTAGAGAAATCGCTAAAACTCCCCGATCCGACATAAATATAAAAACATTCTTGCGCAACAATTACTTGAAATTTAGAACAGCAATTGTTTCAGCTATAAAATACAGAAAAAACGAAAGCTGTACAATTCATCAAAAAACAGAAAAGTTGAAAAATGAAATTTTAAATGGACCCGCACATATTTTTGGTGATCATTCAAATTGCGCTTCGTATTTCTGTAAAACAGTTGGTCAAATAATAAATGCAGTTGCATATTCTGATTTTTTTAATAGTTCTTTGTTTGAATTGTTCATGCGGGCATTAAAAAGAGTTGCAAATTTATCTTCAAGTCTTTTGTACGATGTCGATAATAATTCCACAGAAACTCAAGCTGCGAAATTAAATAAAAGAAAAATTCGTATTCAAAGTGCAGATTCCGATTATGGTGCGACTGATGGATGACATAATAGATATGCCAATGGAAACATATGAAAAAATAAAAAGTGAGTTTTTGAATGATTTGGCTGCTTGCAATATTTTAAAAGTCCCTATTGAAACAATTGGTCAACGTAATAATGAGCAGTGGGATAAAGAAAGAAATAACAGATTAACAGCTAGTAATTTTGGAAGAATTATGAAATATGAAATGTAAAACCAATACAGCAAATACTGTAAAAATATCTTATATAGTGTAGGTGTGTCTAAATTTAAAAAATTGCCTGAACCTCTACAATGGGGTATTGATAATGAAGAAAAAGCAAAGGAAAAGTTTGGGCAAATCACAGGTTTCAAGGTGGACTCATGCGGCTTTTTTGTTGATGAAGAAAAACATTTTTAGGTGCAACACCAGATGGATTAGTCGGTTAAAATGCTATTGTTGAAATTAAATGTCCATTTAGCGCGAGATATGCCGATATTAAAACTGCCATAGAACGAAATAATACACATAACACAATAACGATAAACATAATATGTGTCTCACCACAAATACCTAGAATCGTTTTTAACACATAATTAATTTGGCTAATTAGAGCTGTCCGTAAAGATCAACTCATATAATAATCCCTAAGCAAAAACCGTCCTCAGTAAAATTAATATAAATATTATATTTTAATTTTTTATTTTTTAGGTTTACGTATTGGTCTTAGTGCCTTTATATTAAACCTATCTATTTTTTTAATTTATTTTAAAATAGATGAATAATAAAAAAATGAAGTTTTGAAATGAACTAACAATTCTCTTATTGAGGGGTGCAAATGCATATCTTTGCTTTGAACAAACACAATAAAACGATCATGTTGTGGGTTACACCCTGCGGTGCGGCCCGGGCTGTCATAAATTATGGCTACAGGTACAGAAAATCGTGTATTATTGGTTGCCTACTTTCAATTTAATTTTTGCTTTATATCAAAGAATCAAGAACAGTTATCAAATTCGCATTATATCAGGGCACTGTATTTTTAAATTACCTATAAACTGTTTTTTTTTTTAATTCAATACGGTATACCGTTATCAAAAAATCTTAATAATTAAAATCTTCACATTTTATTCAATAAAAAAATATCTATTAATTTATTTAAAGCGGGAATATTTCCCTGGTCTCCACTTACCTTTAAAGAAACACTACAAACTTCAAGAAACTCTTCAAGTCCAAATTTGTGGCTAAAAACAATGAAATAAATTTACATGTAATAGGTATACGCCAGCTTTCAGGGGGTCTGGAGCCTTAAGGGTATTGGACAGGACTTTATTTCACTTTTAATTTTCAAACGTTAAGAAAATATCTAACTCATAGTTAACTTCCGACGCGTGACAGCGTCCAACTCACAACCCTTGTGAAAACGACTGAGACAGAAAGCATCCAGCAGACCAACGAAACATTCGCCACATCGTCGCTCATTTGCTTTCACTAAATAACTGACCGATATAGTAAATTTTATGTAGAAGGAGGAAAATAACAGAACCGTACTCATTTTATTTTATTATTGGCATATAAAAAAATAAATTTAATAAAATAAACAAAAATTTAACGCATAAACAATTTAATATAAAAATAAATGACTAAACCAATTTAACTTAAAAAACGAGTATTTTTATTCAAAACTTTTTTCCATAATTCGAGGTAGAAGGCTATCATAGGTGTGCAAAATTCTAAACCTGGTGTGCAAAATTCGAAACCTAGTGTGCAAAATTATAGTATTATTTATATTTAAAAATTCTTAAGTGGGGGTGTTAACTTCACTGACCCTTTCCGGATTCCCAGAATGAAGTGAGTTCATCCCTGTATGAGACGCTTTCATGTAGTTAGCCAATCCATTTTTCTCAACGATGCAGCGACGTCATTTGAACGGTTTGTGTGGCGCATTGCTTGGTGCAAATTTTTAGTGAAGTGAGAGCGCATCACAAAAATTAACGAGGTAAAGAGAGATAGAAAAAAATCACAACATAAATGAAAAACGGGATTATGGAAAAACCAAAGAAAATTATTAATTTTTTTTTGAATAGTTGTGCCTGTAATTAATTGAAGAATGAGGGTTGTTTCAAAGTAACCTCACATTCCTATAATTTATATTCCTATATATTTATATATGGTTTTAAGGGCTTTAACTTAGATTTTCTTCGATAAAAAAAATAATAGTGCATATTTTTTTTTTTTAGTGTTATACCTTCACTCTAAAATGCATTCTTTATTATAATTTAAAAAAAATTAAATATTATGTTAACTGGTTTTAATAAAAATCAGAAATTACAAATCAACATTATTTTCCAAATTTTATCTCTTTCTTACTTAGGCAGATGTATAGGAGCGAAAGAATACACCGACTCCCGACGCAAAGTATTTTTGTATTGTGAGTTAATGTGGGTTTAAGTCGTGTCCAATACCCTTAAAAGAGAGGAGTCACCTAAAACCTTTTGCGCACGTGGTGCATACAATATTTTTTTGTTAAAGCTTCCAAAACACGAATTCACACCTCTTACTAATACGTTACCATAGTAACCAATTTTATTTTTTAGTCCGCGAAAACTGTTTTTGGGGATTGACTACCTAAAATACCCGTTTTGCGTACTATTTTATTAAATACTGAAAAGACTCATTTTAGGGACTCAAATGAGTCCCTAAAACAGCTGTTTTCGGGAGCGTATACAAATATCGTCGTGTACAATATAAAATTTTATTCAGTCCTCACTAATTTTGTAGTCAATTTGGTCGATATTTATAAATGTCAAAGTAAAATTCAACAATGAAGTCTAATGTCAAAGATCGTTAGTAATTAACAACCACAGATATACAACAATAGATGTATTTTTTATCATCAAGACGACAAAATTTCATTTTAACATGAAGAAAAGAGTAGATAAATTTTAATTTTAACATAGAGGATTGAATAAATAACTATTATTCAAAATGACAAAATGAAATTTTGTTGTCTAGGTGATAAAAAATACATTCATTGTTGTATCTGTATCTATTTTTCAAAATTAGTGCCTACGGTATGAAATAAAACGCATTACGACCTATGTCCGGCAAATGATTTTCTACAATACCCGATGTCTGACTCGTAACTGTAAAATCTCATTTACCCAACTTATAACGTAAATGTATATTCTAATTGCAACGTCAAAAAATAATACATCGAATACCACACGAAAGTTCGTTAAATTAGAAAATAATTTTTATTTGTTTCTCACTTGTAAGCGTCAATTTTTATGTCACTTTATTCATCTTGCAAAATTCTCATAATTGGCTAGCCAGTAATCTAACGTCGTTAATGGCTGTTACATATAAAGTTCATCCGAGTTTTTCAAATGTCAGAATTTCTAGATTTCTTAATGTTTTTTATAGTTATTTACTAGTGAGGAACAAATAAAACATTCACCTATATACGCATGGTAAATATGTTTTGCTGGAGGAGGAGACAAGCTCGCTTGGCGACTCGCCAGTCTTATGACTCTTCTTAGCGTCAGTAAATTCTTTTACTATGCATATAAAGTTAAGTACAATTTCTAGAATTCTAGAATTTTTCTCAAGCGTGTTGTTGTCATTCGAAATTAGTTTCAATTTATTCTTCCTTTCTTGTGATATTACTGTTGAATATTTTATGGGAAATAAGTACAACATAATGAAATTTTGACTCTTTTTTAAAAATTTATGTAGTAATGGGGGTTAACGAACTTGACCGGTTTTAGATGGTTTTATTTGTTTGCTTTTTCAACCCTTCTTCTGCTCCTTGCAAAATATATTTGTAGGCTAAGTGGATAGTAACTCGCTCTCTTGCTTTGCAGATCGCTACCGAAGAAGTTATCTGAAGACACCGGACTTGCAATATGCGCTAGAACCGACAATCGCTTCGCTTTGCCTACCCGCTTCTCTGCAAATTATTACTCCGTTCAGAAGCTTTTCTGTACCCGCCGACCTGTCAGTAACAACGTCAACACAGAAAAACACAGAACAAAAGAGTACAAGAACGCAGTGACCCAAGTTTATTTTTTATATCATTTTCTAACAGTTTTAAGCAACGTACGTTACTCGTTGTGTCGTTCTTAAAACAATTTTTCGAAAGGATGGACAATAATTCCACTTGACTTCATTTTGTGAACCACAAGCATATTTGGAGTGAATCGTTGCGCTTCGTCCAGTGTTTTTCGCGTCCAATTTGTAGGAATTATTGACAAAACGCCTTCGCGCAATGGCAATGGTTAACATGAATAATTTACTTAATGGCAAGGACTCCCGCTGGCTTCAACTCGAAGTCTGCAGAGAATTTCAAAGAAACAAATGCTCTAGACCGGACACTGAATGTAAATTTGCACATCCACCAGCCAATGTCGAAGTCCAAAACGGCCGCGTGACGGCGTGCTACGACAGTATTAAGGTAAGAATTTTGTCATATTTTTCTATCTTTCGAAGTCTAATGGTGAAGAGTGATTCAGATAAAATTTTGATCATGAAAAATATTATTTTTTTATATAGGGTGTTTTAGAACGCGCGCTCTAGAGTAAAATACCAAGTAAGATACGATACCAGGAACATGGAACAATGTTTAAAAAATTCTATCTGTCAAAAAATTTTGACAATTGTTTTTTGACATTTGACATTTTTTTGTCTACTTGATCATGTTCCGATGATCTTGTAAGTACACTGTGTCAATTTTAAAACTTGCAATCGGCAATATCTCTCAACTAAAAAAGTTTTGAGAATCACTTAAAACCGTTTTGGTGGCTCCTAGGGAGACTCAAAATGACATGGTAAGTGACGCACCTCCATCCACCCTTGAATATAATAAAAAAATAGAACGTTCGTTTTTGAATAATTAAATAATAATAATTGAATAATAATTTTGAATAATAAATAAAATACCAAATAGGCTGTTGTATGATATTTTTGAAAAGCGCTTGTTATGAGCTTTGGGGCGACCCAAGTAGGCAAGACAGCAAGAGTAAACAAATAAGGCCGTTTTTAATTTATTGTTTTTAATTTTGTATGTATGTAATTGGATGTTTAATGTTAAAGTTTTTAATTATTTTAATGTGAAATATTCGTTACGTAGGGCTGATGAAGGCCAAATTGGCCAAAACCGGTACCCGATAATAAAACAATTTGCAATTTGGAGAAAATTTTATTTTTGGAATATAGGTACCTAATTAAAAATTTTCAACTTGGGCAGGCCGTGGCTCCAAGGGTAGGTAGAGGTGCGTCACTTTTTTGATTTCTCCTAGGAATCACCGAAACGGTTTTGAGTGAAGTTCTAAAATTGACACCCTATACAGGGTGCGCCAGAACTCGCGCCCCAGAGAAAATTTTCAAGTAAGGTAAGATACCAGGAACATGAAAAAAATGTTTAAAAAATTTTATCTGTCAAAAAATTTTGACATTTACTTTTTGACATTTGACATTTTTTTATATCTATTTAATGATACTGATGATCTTGTATATGTTTTTTTACAATTATTTAGTAAAGGGACAAAAATTTTGCCAATAAAAGCCACAAATAACATTGAACAGAGTTACAATTTAGGATATAGCTTCCTTGTTTCCTCTTTTAATAGCATATAGCAAAAAAACTTGGAAAATTATTTTTCCAACAGAAATAAATAGAGTCAAAGTGCAAACTTTAAACCCTCATAACTTCGAAATTTTTATAGATAAAATTTTTTTTACATTTTTTCCATGTTCCTCGTATCTTACCTTATATGGCATTTTTCTCTGGGGCGCGAGTTGTGGCGCACCCTGTATATGTTTACTAGCTTGCACCCGTGACTTCGTCCACGTGGAATTTCGATATAAATATTTGTTGTTTCTTAAAGAAGAAATGTGAAGTTAGTCTGTTTATCAATTTTTTTCTTTATTCATCAACTCAAAACAACGCGGGAGCATCAGAAAGCCGATTTTTAAAAGAATGACAAAAATACGTTATAAACGCTTCACCTCGTCGAATTTTCAAAAAGTGTCTTCTTAGTGCATTCCTACACCCTCAAATCTCAAAATTTTAAATTTCGTTTAAGTGTTGACAACATATTTCACCCTCTTGTAAATTTCAGAAAATCCTTTCTTAGCGAACCTCTATTCCCTCTAAAGAATATGTTTGCCAAATATTATGTCTTTATTTTTGTTAAAATGTTTACACTCCATTTAACCCTGCTTAGAAATTGATTTTTAAAAAATCTTCTCTTAACGAACCTCTATACACTCTAAAGAACATATTGTCCAAATTTCATGTTTTTATTTTTAATTAAAAGTGTACACCCCGTTCCATTATAAAAAATAAGTTTTTACTTATTATTAAAAAAAATCTTGTCCTAGTGCACTTTTACAACTGATATATTGATCCAATCTTAAACCAATAAATACCACATTAATCAACATTCCAATCTCTTGAAGTATTACTATTAATCGTATTATCCCATAACCACCTAATTTCAACATAATCCCAGCTAAAATCATTGACCCTGAAACAGGAGCCTCAACATGAGCCTTTGGCAACCATAAATGTACAAAAAATATAGGAATCTTAACAAAAAATACCATATTAACAAGTAAATAAACTAACAAATTAAAAATTGATCTATTAGAAAAATAAAAATAATGCAAAGAGTAAAAATTATCATAACAAAAAAACAACGAAATCATCATAGGTAAAGAAGCTAATAAAGTATAAAATAACAAATAAACACCAGCCTGTAGACGTTCAGGTTGATAGCCCCATCCTACAATCAAAATTAAAGTTCATATTTTCTAAATTTGTTCTTTCTATCTTTGTTTAAATATTTATACCCCATTTCATCCCCGTAGAGATTCATTTTCGAAAAATTTTTTCTTAGCGAACCTGTACACCCTCTTAGACACATATCTTCTAAATTTAATGTTTCTACTTTCGTTTAAACTTATACAACCCGTTTCTCCTCTTTTTCTAAGAAAGTAAATAAGTTTTTACTAATTATTTTTGAAAAATCTCGTCTTAGTGCACCTTCACAACTGCTAAGGAACATATCTTCCAAATTTTTTGTTTCTATCTTAAACGTTTGCACCCCATTTCACCCCCTTTGAGGTTGATTTTTTGAAAATCCTTTCTTAGCGGACCTCTACACCTTCTAAGAAACATATCTGCCAACTCTCATATTTCTAGCTTGTGTGGTTTAGGCTGTGCGTTGTCTGTCAGTCAGTTATGGAACTCTTTTATATACCGGCTGTCCCACGCAGGTTTGGATATAGGAAATTAACATGGGAAATAAGTTTTTATTTTTTTCCGGCTACAGGAGTAACAGAAATAAAAATCTGATTAATGAACCTTGTAGTGCTCGAAAAGGGCTATCTTATCGACATTTTTGTCGATTTTCCAATTAACTCCATTTGGGCGAAAACGTCTCTCGAAAAATCGAAATTTGAATTTGCCGGGTTAGCGTTACCAAGAAACGAACTATCAAGTCAAATTCTGACAAATTCTCCCTTGGCAACAACGACTTGATAGTTGGTTTCTTAGTAACGCTAACCTGTCAAATTCAAATTTCGATTTTTCGAGCGTCGTTTTCGCCCAAATGGAGTTAATTGGAGAATCTAGAAAAATATTAATGATAGCCCTTTTCAAGCACTACAAGCTCCATCAATCAGATTTTGATTTGTTACTCCTGCAGCCGGAAAAAAATAAGAACTAATTTTCCATGTTAATTTCCTAGATCCAGGCCTGCCTGGGACACCCGATATATAGATTATAATTATTCAGTAAAGGTAGAAAAACTTGCTGATAAAAGGCACAAATAACCTTAAACATGGTTACAATTCAGGATACAACTTCTATGTTTTTAATTCTAATAGCAAAAATACATGTAAAACAATTTTTCCAACAAAAATAAATAGGGTGAAAGTGTAAAATGTGAACCCCCATAATTTCGAATTTTTTTTTTAGATTGTATTTTCTTAACAATTTTTGTACTCGTATCTTACCTTACTTGGCTTTTTTCTCTGAGGCTCTGAGGCTTGAAACACCTGTATATTTTTAGTATTTTTGGTGACTCTATGTAATGTAAAGGGCGAATTCGGACACGTAGGAGAGTAATATAAAGTTGATTATTATTTATTTCAAGTTAGAAAACAAGGCAGCAACAATTTTTTGATGGGCTTGTACCGACATTAGCAGGATGCACCTGTGACCTTTAAAGAGGTCAATAAAAATGGGTTATTTTATTAAGAGTTTGCGTAAGGCTTCAACAGATGACGCCATACGCTATCATCTTCTTCTCCTCAGTAAATAGGAAAGTCTCGTAAATACTGAGATGATGTCATAAAGTCGCATGTATTCTTTACTTTTCCTATTAGCAATATATTATAATATACTATTTTGAGGTTAAATACGCCACAGTTAAGGTTTTTGTTTATAAAATGGAAGAATTTGTCTTATGAAATATGTGAGATTTTTATAGAATTAGGAGGTTTTGTCGGAAATTACTTTGCTTCAGAATATTGGTTTGTTGTTGAGAATTAGTAACTACGATTATGCGAGTAAACCAATAAAAAAAATAGTTTACTGCCGGTTTGTTTGACGCCTAATTGATGAGTTGTGGCTCAATTATTGTATGTCATGGGTAAATGAGTCCATTTCGTGTCAGACTTTATCGTTGCGTCGCCTCGCTCTTATTATTCTCATCCTGTAGTCTTATAATTTCACGTTCTAGTTGAGGGATTTATTCGAGGAAACAGAAGCATTTGTAGGAACATTGATATTATAATAGGAACGGTGATGACAGTATCATAGAGTACTTGTCACTGTCAGCCATATTTCCTATATTCCTAATTAAGATATATTATCAAATTTGAACAATATGAAAACCTGCCGGATCTTCTGCGTCTGACTTAGGCAGCCGTAAGCAAATTATTATCTTTAATTGTTTAAATGTGTATTTAAAATAAATTTGATTTACCGTTTCGAAGTCAGTAATTGAAATAATTAGGAAAAACGTAAAATTGATATGTTAGATTTTTGATTTTACTTTTGGCTATGCCAGAAAGGTCTTATATGCTCAAGACATCTAAAATCGTTCCCATGTTTAACATTTTATGATTATAAAATCATGTCACAGCGACACTAACTTACACTAAATTCAGATACGTTTATTAATTAACGCTAATGGTATTTCTTTTTATAGGAAACTTAGTAATATGACAAAAGTATTATCTATCTATTTTTTGGAGTTTTACCCAAAATTTATTTAGCAATATAATTTTTTATTTACTGTAAACCGAAAGACACTTCGCTTGGAGCAACGTGGGTTTTTTTCACTTTACCCACTGTCACTTGCCGTTCGCCTATTGGCAGTAATGTAATAATAAAATTATGTTGCTACTTCAGTAATTCAATCAATTACCCACATTGGGCATTAG